AAAACGTCCAAGTGGCTCTCGCCCGAGAGGTGTCATTCCATGGAATGACGCCGACGTTCGCAATCACAATGACTACGACGCGGATGTCAACATGTATGACGAAGATGGGCACGATGCTTTCATGGATGAGTATCAGGCGACTAGGTTCGAACCCTCTTTTTCCATGCAGGATCACCATCACCGACCTCCACCCCAGTTCTCGAATTTCCAATATTATGGCCACCATCCACGACAGTATGCACCATCTGACTTTGGTGGAAGAGGCCGTGGTGTCCGCCCCCAATATCGAGGACATGGTCGTCCGTATGACTCTCATGGCTACTATGGCCGAGGAAACGAAGGATTCACTGGGTTTGGCACTCGCGGGGTTGGACGGGGGCATTCAGAGGCTGGCGATGGAGAGCGACTCGCAGAGGGTGGGGTGCTACGTCGACGACTTCCTAGTGAGGGCCGGGGTTTCTGAAACGTCTTCAATGGAGGAGGAGAATTGATGGTCAGGCGGACATCGGGAGTTCTGTCATGCAGGTTCATTTGGGGGACTTAGGATTACTACATTATCTAGTACATAGGGTTTTGTGGTACTTAGTACTCTTCAGTGCTGGTCACCGGATATATTGGTAGTTAGGATCATGTAGACCTTGTGGTTTCACTGTTGTGGATCAAAGGCGTCTCAACTTTGGTATGCTGTGCAGACTTGGTTGAATTATCAATGTGCCATTGGAATACTTGTGCTATGCTGCTTGGACTTGGAAAAATTTAAGATGTACCATACTGATGGTATTACTGTTATTTGGTATACAGATTGGAATGGGGTTTGGTACCAAAGATATGGTATGAGGCTATACCAGAGATCACATACCATACCATACCATACCATGTGGTATGATTGTCTGGAATGGTTACCATACCATATGGTTACTGGTATTATTCTGAAAGGCAGATACCATACCAGTGGTATGATGGTATGGAATGGTATGGCTTTGGAATCCACATACCATACCATATGGTATGATTGTCTGGAATGGTTACCATACCAGTGGTATGATGGTATGGAATGGTATGGCTTTGGATTCCACATACCATACCATATGGTATGATTGTCTGGAATGGTTACCATACCAGTGGTATGATGGTATGGAATGGTATGGCTTTGGAATCCACATACCATACCATATGGTATGATTGTCTGGAATGGTTACCATACCATATGGTATTATTCTGAAAGGCAGATACCATACCAGTGGTATGATTGTCTGGAGGTACAACTTTGGTTCAGTTCAATGACAATACCTCCACCACTTATTGGTATACACATGTCCAGCTTGCAAATACCCTTGGTAGCATGCAGACAGGATGTAGTTTGGCACAGCAGCTTTCCACCATTGAATTCACTAACACCCCCTTTGTCCTTTACCACATGTTCCCCACTCAACCTTACCCCACTTCTAATCCATAACTTGACTCATCTATATCAGCCTGAAATTCCCTTAATTTATCACCAACACCCTGCTTATCTTTACAATTTTCCCCACTCAAACTTATCCAACTTCTAATCCATAACTTGGCTTATCTATATCAGCTGAAAATCCTCTGCTTACCTTTTTTGCCAACACCCCACTTTTCTTTACCATGTTCCCCACTCAACCTTACCCCACTTCTAATCCATAACTTGACTTGGTATCATGCATGGTTCAGGACTGATAGCCAATACACAAAATGTCTTCTTTTCTTGGCTTCTCAAATACCACATCATCACAATGGGTGCAGTATTGATTTATCTGTGATGAATATTGTTCTAATTGAAAGGACTGGGGAAGATATGTATCATTAAATGGCTTTGGATGCATGGGAAAGCTGGAATAAAGCTTATTTAAACTCATTTTCAATAGATGGTTTGGACTATCTGGCCTCAATTTGTAGCCTAATATCTCAGGAAAAACCTGGAGAACCACCCCACAAAAAATGGCACCCAATGGACCAGTATTGCAGCCTGCAGAAATAATTTATATATTTTGGAAAAGGACCCCAGACACCCCGTGACAGTTTTGGTATGATGGTATGGTATGGTATGAGATCATTTGGTATGGTATGAGATGACATGGTATGGNAT